CTGAAACAGAACAGAGAAGCCTGGTCACCCACCTCCGTCTCTGCGTGGAGAACACTGCGTGAATAGCTGAACTGAGAAGAATGTCTGTGTGTGCACACGCACGTGCATGCGTGCTGAAAAGCCTCGTCTCCAATTTAAAAGCATTTTCTCTGGCGGCGATTGCACAGCCCAGTTGCCCCCTGTGCTCCCCCCACCCCCCAGCTGGGGAGGACAAGCCGTCTCCAGGAGAAAGCTTCCTTCCTTCCAGCCCGGCTCGGCCTCTGGCACAGGCAGGGGTCTGGGTAGAGGTCACAGGCTGGGCGGCCGTCCCCTGGCCGATCCTGAGGGAACAGCTCCTCCTTGCAGCTGGCCATAAATGGAGACCAGGCCCTGGCACTGGTTCAGAAGGTATTGTTAGGTCAGCAGAGCCATCAATTAGGCTGTCTGAAGTTTTATCACCAACACAGCAGTAATAAGTGCTGGCCAGAAAGACTTCTGCTCTTAGGCAACTCCTGCAGCTTAAGCCTGTAAAGTTCGGGGTCATGCCGGGGTCAGAACCAGCTGGGGGCGGCCTCTGCAGCCTGAGCCGGGACACCCGGGGCTGGGGACATAAAGCCAGCCCCTCTCAACCCCAGCCTCAGGTACACATGGGATGAGAGCTGAGCCGGGCACGCTCAGACCAGGTGGAGTGGAATCTCAGGAACGGAGAGAAGCGGTTACTTGTCTGAGAAGCTGGACCTCGTTTTGGTGAAAATATAAACATTGAACCTCGTTTTGGTGAAAATATAAACATAAATGCTTACTTCGTGTTACTTTAATGTTTGATAATGCCCATCAAATATTCATGTGCAAACAGTAAGCTGATAAGAAATCTCCTTTATTTCTCCAAATCTAATAAGAACAAAACAATTTTCAACCACTTAGGAGCTACCTGGTCCCAGTGCTTTCCCGCTTAGGGATCACGGCAGATTCTAGGCCCTGGGCGTGGCAGGGAATCGCTGCGTGCTGCTCCCCCCCCCCCCCCCCCGCCCGTGCTGGCTCTGCATCCTGAGCACACAGAGACTTAAGGATGGATGACCACGTGCGTTCTCAGGCTGGACGGCCACAGAGCTCTACTCCTCAGGAGCTTTGTGCTCTCCCCCCCCCCTTTGGTCGTGGGGCTTGAACTCGGCCTGAGCACTTTCCCTGAGCTCTTTCTGCACAAGGCTAGTGCTCTAGCTCTCTGAGGGACAGCGCCACATGCAGTTTTCTGGTGGTTCACAGGAGTCTCATGGGCTTCCCCACCAGGGCTGGCTTTGAACCGAGATCCTCAGATCAGCCTCCTGAGCAGCTAAGATGACAGGTGAGAGCCACTGGCACAGCCCGGCTCTGTGTTCCTTCTAAGGTGAAGATCCTCGCGGAGCCCCCACGCGAGCTCCTAGCACGGGTGCTCAGTGCACAGCCCCGCACACGGGGTTTCGTGTCGCACAAGGACAGCAGGGCAGCCACACGCACCTGCCAGCGGAGGTGGCCACGTGGGGTGTGGCTGCGTCACCCACCCACGTCACCTCAGGGGCAGCAGAGAAACGGCCAGAGGTTTCCAGAAGAAGCCCTCAACCCAGTGAGGAGCCCATTTCCAAACTTCCCCAGTACTTTCGCAGTGCACCTCTCTATGGCTCAAGTGAAGACCCCAAAAGATGCTCGGAACAGCCTGGAAGTTTCTAGGAAAAAAGTGTGTGTGTGTGTGTGTGTGTGTGTGTGTGCGCGCGCGCGCACCTGTGTACTGTAGCCCACTTGCTAGGTAAAACCAGTTGCTGGCTATGATTTCCCCTTTAATTCCACCCTTCTGCTTCCTTTCTGTTGTCATCTGGGCCACGCTCTGCCTTCCTGAGCCGTTCCTCAGCTCGCAGCTTGCAGCCGGAGGATTCAGGCTGCCTTCAAACAAATCATCACGGGCAAGGTTAGAGGTTCACTCGCAGGTCACTCCTGAGACGCCTCAGGATGGTTAGTAAAAACGGGGTCCACTCACAAGGTGGTTCCACGGAGGCTGCCCAGCCACACAGACGGCGAGCAGAGCAGGGGCCCTGTGCTCTTCCCGGCTGAGCCAGCAACCACTGCAGGCTGCTGCCACGACCAGGGCCCGAGGGTGACCAGCCCCACACATGTACATGCGCGCACATACATGCATGCGCGCACGCACCGCCCTTCCCAGCCCACTTCCCAGCGAGTAAGACTGCAGCTCTGTACGCACACATCCAGAGGGGTTATGGGTATTTTGCTTTATCACGTGTGCTCCATTGAATCTCTCTACATTTTTGTTCTTGAACAATATTTATGATCCATCGTGCTAGTCCCTGCCAGATTCAGAATTCTACCACATTCTTTCAAATCACACAATTTCAAAAACATATGGCCTCCAACTTTTCAGAAATCTCCAAACGTACAAGTCCTGCCAATTGTCAGCTCCTGGTAATCCTGATATATTTTATTGTTAACTCCCCAAACCCTGGCTTATTTCCTTAATGACTCTAGGAAAATTCTGGTACTGAAATACGAAAGTATACCTTTCCCAGACCAGCGACCCAGGGGCCACCCTTAGAAGACACGCTGGTGACTATAAAATGGAGCCATCTACATTATACGCCAAAACGAATCACATGAGGAATAACTTCAGTATTGCTACAATGAACTTCTCCCATGTAATAGGAACAGAACTACATGACGTGAGGAGTTTTCCACTTCCTCTTATACGTATTTTCAAATGATCTTTCCAATACTCAAAGAATAAACAGAGTATCAAGATTTGACTCTACTTAAATGTAAAAATGAAGTTGCAGACTTGAAAGTCACCACAGCTCCCCCAATTCAGGGGCCACGCTCCATTCACATGGAAAAATGCAACTTGTTGTAGAAAGACAAAAGACTTATCTTCAAAAGGCTCTTCGGGGCTCTTGGATATTAACTGGGCCTCACAAAATAACATTTTGATGATTTAAGTGTAAATGAATCAGTCACATATGGATTAAGTTATCCTTGAATTTCACACGGGTTTAAAAAATAGGGGAAAAGAGGGTCTTGGCAAAAAACATTTTGGGCTTTGCCAAACCTAAAACATTTGAAAAATTGCTGAAGACATCCAACTAACCAAAACGTAGCTGCTGCACCCAACCTTCATGAAAACTCCCACAAGTTCTTCCCAGCTCAGAGACTGCGAGGTTTCTCATCTGTATCGGATATGAAAAAAATCCTCCCAAGTTTTAATGTCATTGTAAGATGATTTTTGAGATTGTAGACATATAATGTATTTCTCTATTGGTATATAAACAATTTAATCCTAAGTTTTCAAGTCTTCTTAGCTTCTTAAATAGTTCTTTGACATAATCTGAGTATAGACTATGGTAGCAAGCCTGGAACCTGATCCAGATCCTGCATTACCCTCACTGGGAGTTTTTTAAGGGCTACAGAGAATGCCATTTGCGGGTCCTTACAGAGCGGGCCGCAACGTGCACTCGTTTTATTGACTGGTGAGTTATTTCCCAGGCTACACAGCATCTTGGAGAGGACCTACGAAGACTGTCTGCTGCTCTCTAACTGCACTCAAATAGAAAATGCGTTATTAGCATGCGTGTTCCTTAAAAATTATCTACTAACACGTTAGCCTTAGAATAACCTAATTATAGGAATAAATTCAATGACTATCCAAAATCTCATGAAACCTTTTAAAGTCAACTCAGAGGTGAAAAATTAAGAAGAAAGAATCCAGTACATTAAAAGAGTTTACCTCACATGGCAAATCTCACTCACTCTCACCTTGCTATCCTGCTGGAGTGATGCCGCCTCTTCCCCCCATTCCTCAAAAATCCAAACATTTTTTGGTATTGCATAGTTTCCTACAACTGAAATCTGAGAAACTTCCGTTTTTTTTTCAAATACTTTTAGTGCAAAGCATAGTTCAGGTAGAAGATGTATGATTTTTTTCTTTTTTTGTTTGTGTGGGGCTTGAACTCTGGGCCTGGGCGCTGTCCCTCAGCTCTTCAGCTCAAGGCGAGCGCTCTACCACTTGAGCCACAGCGCCACTTCCAGCTTTCCAGTGGTTTATTGGAGATAAGAGTCTCACGGACTTTCCTGCCCGAGCTGGCTTTGAACCGCAATCCTCAGATCTCAGCCTCCTGAGTAGCCAGGGTTACAGATGTGAGCCACCAGCACCAGCAGATGTGTGATTCTTGACAGCTGGTTGGTTCGACACGCACCCCCTTTCATGGCTGCTAAACTCCTCCTTGCTGAGTTACTATCACAGCCACACCTGGAAAGCAGCTCCTGGGTCTGGGCAGGAGTCTCAGGGAAAGCAGCCAGCCCGGCCCTGCGCTGCAGAGCGCTGCCTGCCTTCCGGATGGGCTGGGTTTGGGCAGGGAGTGCAGGCAGCCAGGTGGCCGGAGCCCTGCCTGCGCACTTGCCGCCCAGCATCGCGGGCCTGGAGCAGGGCGCTGTGCCACAAAGCTCGCTCCCACTTGGTGTTTCAGCAGTAAGTCCTCAGCATGGGCAAATCACTTGGCAAGTTTCTGTTTGTTTTCTGATGTATGGAAAGAGAAGGCAAGTGTTTCTGCACTGAGTTAGGGTTACAAGTAGGCTTTCCTCAGAAGGACATGCTGAAACTGTTCACTCGGGGAATTATTAGACAGACTCAGCGGTCACCAGCATGCTCTTGGGCGCATGCCTGGTTGGGTCAGGCCGCAAACCAAGGTGTTTCACTAGGGGCCACGTGCTGGATCCCCAACAGACACTTGCAAGACAAGCGAGTGAAAAGAAGGGGATGCGTCTGCGACTTAGGAACACGCTCTCACGTGGCAAGTCGTAGCTCCCAGCCAGTCTGCCCACACAGTAAAACACACAAAGGATCTATCGATAAACTGGCAACATTTAAACGTGAGTGTGAAATCAGGCACCTTCCGTGGCTTTGGGAATCTGCCTTGAGTCCTGTCCTGTCCAGCTCTGTGGCCTTCTACTTCCTTCTCTCAGGGTCTTCCCTCAACTTCCAGGGAGCC